CCGCAGCCGCTGGCATCACCCTCCTGCACCGTGGGGGAACAGGCAGCACTAGACAGTGAAAACCAAATTGCTTTCCAGAATCAGGCAGATCTATTTTCTATTGTGCGAGAATCAATGTTTTCTAGAGACCATGGTTTTGTATTTTTAATACCCATGCATCCCCCAAGGGGGCCTAGCCTTGCCTCACTCAGCAGCTCTGCACCACACGCTGCAATGGACCTTGGCTGTTTCTCAGCTCCCCAACATCTTCCTCACTGCTGTCGGAGCTGCATTCACCTCCATCAATCAATCACCTTTTGGCTGGGTCATGCCCAGGACGCTGTGGCCGCTGCCTCCCCGCCCTTACCACTCACTCCACATGCTCTGGCAAGTGCAGGGGCCAAGGCCAGGCAGCCAGCACCGCAGAGCTCCTTGAGATGAGCTACATGATTGTCACTTTTTAAATAAATTTGTTCTTGATATGCCACTGGGCTCTGGTAGTCTCCTTCTGTGGTGCCACGGTTGGGCAGGGATGCCCTGCCTGCGGGCAAAGCTAAGCTGGGTCCCGACCAGCCCTGCATCAACCACCATGGCAGGAGCCTTGTGTGGGACAGCAGCAGCCACAGGCAGTCCTGGAAAAGGGGTGAGCCTAGCAGGAAGAACTTACCTGCTCCACGCTACTCCCCCTCCCCAACCCAAGGGCTTCCTTGTGCTTGAGTTGCACCTCCTGGGCACTCCTGAGCTCAGCACCCAGCTGCAGCCACAGACCAGGGACCACTGCTGCTCAGTGTGCTCAGGAGTGAGTGGCCAGGGCCTCAGGGATTGTACAACATCCTGCCTAGGGTAGAAACAAATGGCCCAAGTCATGCAAAGAGCCACACCAGGCTCCACTACCACAAACACCAATTCCCTGGATGATGCAGATTCCTCTTGAGGATGCAGGAACATGTGCCCGAGTTAGTAAGCAAGGAGAGCACAGTGCAATAGGCAGATATTTATTGGTGCAGGCAGGAGGGGAAGCACAGGATAATATACGCTGCAGAGGTGACCACAGCACAAGCTGGGACAGAGCTGCTCTCCATCCATCCATCCATCCATCCATCCATCCATCCATCCATCCATCCATCCCTCCCAGCAGTAGCACCCAGCATGTTTCCCACCAGCGAGGCTTCTCCACTGCCACCAGGCATCTCCCAGACCTCGAGCCACAACACTGCAGCCCAGGGCTTGGCTCCCTCACCCCAGATGGCTAGGGCCTGGACAGGGCATCAGACATCTCCACCAACAGCTGCCCTCTGCACTCATCAGGGTGCCCAAGGGCCATTGGCAAAGGTATAGCTCCACAGCAAGTGTAAGGCAGATACCTTGCACAGGGGAGGGGGCTGTGCTAGCCTGGGGTGTGCAAGTGTCCAGCACCATCCACAGAGCTCAAGAAACCAAACTCTCGCATGGCCGCAAGAGAAACCTCCAAGCCATAGGTCTTCAGGGGAGGAAGGAGCTCAGCCAGCTTGTGGAGACCTTTCATAGTAGGAGAGAGACTGACAGAGCTGCTTCTGAGGACACAGGGAGACTGCACTAGTGCAAACACTGCTGGAGCAGGGAGCAGCATGGCTCTGCCCTCCCACTACTACAGGCTCTGACCCAGTCCTGGCCAGTCTCTCCCAGGTCAGGGTTAGCTACATGGGGATGCAGGGATTGCACAGCAGCATGGCCTACGCTACAAACCACACTCAAAACTAAATCTCACAGGAACAATACTGATTAGGAGGTGTGCAAAGCAATGAAAAAGAGGTCCTCAGCTATACCAAACCTGATCTGTTCCTCTGCAGCAGGGGGAACCCCTTGGAGGCAGCAGCCCCCCAGTTGGTCCTGCTCTACGAGCATAAGCACACACAGTATTAGTACAGTAACACGGGGACTATTAGATATACAACAGGAGGTGGCCTTCCTGCCCTGGTCCCTCCAGATGCCTCACAGCGCACACAACTCAAAATTCAGCTTGTGAATAATTTAACTAGCAACTGTACAGTCTCCTTATCTGAGTCAGTTCCACAGACAGGACATCCCTGGAGTCTGGGCAAGGGATAACTCAGGGAGTTAGACAGGGGTCCCTCCACATCCCAGGGGCAGGAGGGTCAGAGAGAAGCAAAGCGGGGTTAGAAGATGGGAATGTAGTTGTCAATCTTGGTCCTGTGCCGCTGGGCAATGCACTCCGCGATCCACACAATGTTGCGGCACTCCTGCTCCTTCAGCTTCACAAAGGCATAGAAGACTCCAAAGTGGAACTGGTTGAGGAAAGCCAGCTTGTTCAGCTTCACCTGGGGAAAGCCCATAGACGGAAACGTCACTTGTCCACCTCAGATGGGAGGAGCCAGTCAAGACAAGTGTGGAGCAGCTCAGGAGGTCCCATGACTTTCCCAGCACACTGAAAGGCTCAGCACAGGTATCCTGCTCTGCATCTCACTAGGTCCTTTGGTCAGCTCTAACCTACAGCACATGGCTCAGGACAGGCTCTGACATTTAAAGGGTGAACTATTTATACCCTCAGTACTGTGAAAATCCTCCTTTTCCATGTAATTCCATGCCAGTTTTGCTATTGATTCACCAGCCTCCCAAACTTGTCTCCCACACTGCTTTAATCTGTCTGGGTGAGAACATGGACTGAGCACCATGCTGGGGGCCCACTCCCTTACTGGAGCATCCTTTTCCTCCCCCCAGCTTCTGTTCATCCACAGTACTTGCTGCTCCCCTGAGTTTTGCAAAAGGCACAGGTAAACACATGCCAAGAAGTGTCTTGGGGCTCACTCACCTCATGCTCAAAGAACCTGTCTTCAAGGGTCTTGTCTCCAGGGTTGCTGCCAGCCCCTTCAAACAGCAGCTTGTACTCCTGCAGGAAGACATTACAAGAGGATATACTCAAAGTCCTCCAAGCTCAGCAGCATATGGGGGCCTTGGGCACCCCAGCCACCCTGTCAGGACAGCAGAAGACAGAGAAGCCAAGAGTCTGCCCTGTGCACACATGAACGTCGGCAGTAGGGTGCTGCCAGGGCTGCACTGCACACACATCAGTTGAAGGTAATCCCCAGAGAGGCAGAGAAATCCTTTATTTCATCTGTGAGCTTGTCCAGCCAGAGATCCCACCCCTCCTTTGAAATGTGCAGTTCTCAAAGCTGTATTGTTGCTTTGAGCCTGCAAGAAGGATGTGTCAGGTACAGAGCCCTCCATGTACAGACTGGGGTGTTTGGGCCAGGCCCCTGTGCCCACAAACACTGCCACATGCCCTGGCTGCTTCAGTAAGGGGACACTGAGCTATCTGACTCCAAACAGGTCCCCAGTCATGCACAAGATCAGTTTAAGGAACTCAGACACATTCAAAAAGTGTCCTCCCAGGTCAGTGTCTTCTCTGCAACTGAACCAGATCTCAGAGCAACTCACTAGGGCTGGGGAAGCAACCACTTCTCACTGAAGACATGTTTCCACCCCCAACCAGCCAAAGAGAGACTGTCTCTGCTGCAACACTGATACCTCAAGGGTTTGGTGGTGAGGGCTGGCCCCATGGTGTGGGATGGGATGCACAGAGCATGGGTAGTTTCCCTACCACCACTACAATGATAGCCATGACGAACAAGCCAATGGCATCCCAGGCAAGCCGACTTCACCTTGGCCAAGCAGATCATGGGACCAACAGTACCAGCAGAAGATGGGCACCCCTCTTCCCAGGCTGTCAATCCACAAATTCCCCCAGATCCCCGAGAAGCTCTGACCCAGAGCAGGTCCTTGCACCAGTCCCCATGGCTCTCACCCCAAGCACTCACAGGGTAGTAGTCAGCAACATTCTTGACTTGTTCATAGTCATCTGCCCGGGCCAGCTGAGCCAGGCCCTCAGGGTAGAGCTTGCCACAGTGCGGGAACAGCTTTGCTCGGTCCTCCTTGGACAGCTCAGTCCCAAATGAGTTAATAGTGATGATGAAGGCCCTTC